GGATCATCACTATCCTTTGGTGATTGGATGGATTGGTTTTAACTAGAGGTTGACGCGATGCAACTTGTCTTTCCTTATTCATTAAACCATTAGCAAGGCCGCAAGTCCCGGTGGGGGACATTACCGTATTGTTGGTGTGGGTTGGTTAGAGTCGTAGATTGGGAGCACTCTAATTTTACCCACTCTCATTACTCTGCAAATTAGATAGGGTTTGGCGGCGGAAAAGGCATGGGACTGGCGCTCTATAAATAGAAAGTGAGTCGTAGAGCGGTCTAAATTTACCTACTCTCAGTACTCTGCAAATTAGATAGGGTTTGGCGGCGGAAAAGGCATGGGACTGACGCTCTACGAATAGAAAGTAACCAGGGCCACAATGACCTGGTTGAAAAAACGGAAAGAAGAAGAAGAAGAAGAAGAAGAAGAAGAAGAAGAAGAAGAAGAAGAAGAAAAGACATGGCTGCCCTGCTATGTCTTTGATGACTCTGCACTGTTATGCTGTTTACTCTTATGCTTATGAATTGGACAAGTTATGCGCCTTATCAATGTGCAAAATGAGAATGAATCTTCCGCTTGAACATGGGAGATACACCGCCATATTTTGTGTCTTTAATGCAAGTGCTGAGTAGTGGAGTGAGGCCCTATGACTCACTTGAGCACTTCACTTTTTTCCATGGTTACGATCCGGACGTCTGGATCGGAGTGCAGACAGTCTGGGTCTGGGTCTGGATGTCTGGGTCTGGTGTATGGTCCAGTGCATCGGAATCTGGATCCAACCCAGGGATCCCACCCCACGCGCTCTCCAGCCAAAAAAAGAAAACTTCCGACTTGAAAAACAACAAATCAAAAAAATGTTTAAAAAATTATAAAAATCTGATTAAAAAAAAGTTAAAAAAACATATGCTATATAGATACAAAAGCTTTTGGCTGAGGATCATCTTGAAATTCGTAGCCAAATGCAAGGAAAGAATGAAAACGGTTTAACTTTTTCTCTTTTCTGGGGGCAGGGGGATGGGATCAATCCAGATGGTCTGGAGCAGTCCACACAGAGGTCTGGCCACATGTCTCGATTGGTCCAATGTTTTTGTCCTGGCGGAAAGCAGGTCCAGCGTCTCTTCAACTATCCCTTCAACCGCGAGGTTCGCACAAACCCTCTTCAACTTGCGATCTTCTCATCAAGCAAGAGGCCACGCATTGTTTTCAATCCAGCTGATCAAATCTGCCCTAGACAATCTCCTCTGCATCAAATCTGCTAAGTACTACGGGGAGGTTTCTATTGCTGTTTACTACCGGAGGATGGGACTGCCCAGTCATTTCAGGCTAGTCAGCAAGAAAACCATGTTCTCCCCTGTAGCTTCTGGAAGACTTCCAATCTTTAACAACGAATGCCCACAGTCTATCTTTCCAGCATTATCCAGCTCAAGG